CGCTGGGCATGCGCAACCCAAGCTCACTGAACACCAGCACCCGCTCTGCCTTCAGCACTGGGTCGGCAGCATGTCACCTCCAGACACTCTCTGCCCTTGGATGAATCCCTGCATGGCTGTGAGCTTGACTGGGCCATATGTCCCGTTCACGCTTTGTCATGGTCCATGTTTAGGACTTGGCACGATCCCTCCACTGGACTGTTAACTCACACGGTCCAACACACAGTGGGCACTTATCAAATGTTTGTTGAATGAATGAATGAGTAAATGAATGAGTGAATGGACGGACAGATGCCTGTGCAAGTCTGCAGATGGGGAAGCACAGACATTCTATATTCAATGACTGAGTTTTATTCTTGTGCCTCAGTCGTTATGTGAACTGGTTGCCAAATGAGGAATTATATATAGTTTGTACATTACAGTGTTCACAACAAAGAAATGGGCGGGAAAACCCCTACTTGATGACTTTGCTTTTATCTGCATAACTCTTACATGCCGTACTGTAATAATATATAACAGAACATAAAACTACTGTACTGTACTGTATGGTATAATCAGAGAAATTACAGTACCGTATAGACAGGTGTGCTGTACTAAAGAAGACGTGGGGCTCTATAAACAAGAGGTACAGAGCTGTGCAAAAAAGAGGACAGATCGTAAGTCTGAGCAGTCCTTAGAGAGGAGGCGGCTAAAGGTGGGTGTGTGGAGGGCTGGGGAGAGCAGAGACTCACACCCATGCACGCAGCAGAGCGCACCGACTCCAGCTCAGGAGTCTTTACCACTTGTTCCCCAGGTGGTTAGACGTCAGTGGGCTGAGGGAGACAGGAGGTCCAAGGCAGCATGCTTTAAACAAAACATCAGAGACCTCTGTGATGACAGCCACGGTCGGTCATCAGGCTCATGCCCGGGGTCCTGGGAAAGGGACGGTGCTTCAAGACTCCCCGCCTTAGGCCCGGAGCTGGTTGGGAGGAAGAACTTGGCTCTAATGAACCTCCTTCCTAAGTTTCTTACCTGACTAAGGCCCCCCAGGGAACGCCTTCTCTCTGAAGAGCAACCGGAAGACACCTGGCAATTCAAAGTGACCTTGAAGGTCACTGGGGGCTCCCAACGCCCCTCTGCGCATTGCAGGGGAGTGAGACTTCCGGTGCCCACGGCTGTGGGGGCCTGCGCGGCTTCTGCCCGGAAGCCATGGATCCCGAGTACCTACTCTGGGTGAGTGCTGCCTGTGCTCCTCTGCAGCTGCTGTGTCCTCCGTCAAAGGCACAAAGGACGGAGGAGAATGAGGCTGGCTCCTCCTGCATCAGGACTCAGTTTCCCTGTGATGCTGTCTTGCGCGGACCTTTGCAAATGCCCACAAATCCTTCAGCCAAGTGACCTGGAGCACTCCTCAGTGGCTGTGCCAGCGCTGGGCCTGCTCCCTTCCCCAGCCTCCAGGGGCTCCAGCTCTGAGCCTGCCTCTCTCTCGGGAGGTGTAGGGGCCAACTTGGAGCAGACTCATCCCAGTCCGGAGAACAGCAGCAAGCACAGAAGGAGCACAAAACTTAGCTGAACTGGCTCACAATCACCCTCGACAGTCAGCCTCTGATCAGCCACCCGGTAAATGTGAACTAATCTAATTCGGTCTTTGAAGTGGCCCAGCTTAGCACATCCGTTATCATCAAAAACCCCATAATGTTCCCTCGTACACGACACAATGACTGGGTGTTTTTTTATTAAGAAGGTGAATTTCTCGCTATTGCAGAGAAGAAAATCCCTGGGAGCTGCCGCCCCTCCTTGTTCCTGGAAGTCCACAGCAGCTTTCCCAATTTCCAAACAAAGTGATCAGGGAAGAGCGCACCCAAACATGCCCGAGAGTGAGAGGCAGCGGTATAAAGAGCTCCAGTGCAGGGTTTCCTAACCCAATTAGCAGCGCTCTCAACCTGGGAGCAGTGACACTCCTGGGACCTCTGGTCCCACTGCCCTGCTCCTGCAGCAGCCTCCAGGAGGCCAGGGTTCAGGGTTCCAAAAGCCAAGGCTGCAGGGACCAGGAAGGGGGTGTTCGGACCTGGCTCCAGCTGCTCCACATTGCCAAACACTCCGAATTTCCAAAGGTGGCCCAGCAGGTGGAGTTTTCAAATCAGAGTTTAAATGTTGGCAACTGCATCGGAAAACACACGTTTTATGGCAGACATGCCAAGCAAGCGCAAGCCAAGACTCCTTCCGGCCCTCGGGGAGTGTCTCCAGGGTCCCGGTTCCCCTTCTCTCCTGCGGCCCTGTCCTCCCCTGGGGCTGTATGCCCCGGCTCGGTTGCTTCCAGACCCTTCTCCACTTCCTCATCCCGCCCCTTCTTTAAAATGGTAATACATGGTTCATTTTGGATTTTGTGCATCAATTTTGACTTAAAGATTGCACTGAAACATTATTCTACAAGCAAGCAGTCTGGAGCCCACTTCTGCTCTGCCTGGCTGTGCACTGCCTGGCCTTACCTGCTCTGCTGGCCCCTGAGCCAGGCCTCTGGATCTGCCAGGACCCACACCGGCCAGCACGGCTTCAGGAGGAGGCCTGGGTGGTGCAGCAGGGGCCCCAGGGCTTGGGCTGCTGGCTCCGGTCTTGCCCACTCCAGCCTCAGCACCCAGCTGTGGTCAGGGGAAAGGGAGGGGGACGGGCCGGTCTGAGTGGAAGCGACACAGGCCAGCTCTGCTCACAGTAGGCTGACAGGTGTCAGCATGCACAGCACGGCATGGCCCGCTTTCCGCACAAGGGTAGCTGGGGAAGATGCATGTGGCGCCACATACCTGCAATCCCAACCCGCCCGCAGGGAGGCTGAGGCCGGAAGATCATGAGTTTGAGTCCTGGCAACTTAGCGAGACACTGTCTCAAAATAAAAAGTAAAAAACAGGGTGCGATGCAGCACAGGGGCAAGGCCCTGGGTGCCGGCCACTCCCGGGGACGCGGTGCACCACTGGGGAGAGACGAGGTGTTAGTGACCCGCTCCCTCTGCCGTCTGTGGCAGGTGGATGAGCCGTCCTGGTGCGCTCCTGTTCCCTGCTGGCAGGGCAGGCCAGGCTCTGCGGTGTCTCCTCTGGTGTCGGTGCCCCCTGGGCCCTGCAGCAGCCAGGCGTGGGGCAGGTTCTCGCCTCTGCAGCCTGGGTGTGGCTGGGCGCTGCAGCAGGGGCCGGGTCCTGAGAGGAAAGCCAGCTGGCATGGTGGCTGCATGGTCAGGGAGCAGTGAACAACCTGTGCAACCTGTGCAGGAGTCCTGCACAGCAAGGCAGAGCTTCCGGCAATGAGAGGCTGTGGAATCTTTGCTTCTCTTTTTGGGGTTCTCAAGCTGACAGACTTCAGCTTCAGTGCTTTTCCAGACCATTTTCTCCTTCTCTCGTCTTTGGAGAGGAAGGGGGGGTGACCTATATAGAGGTTTCCAACTGCTCCACGTGGTGTAAATGCCTTACACGGGCGCGTGTCCGCGTGGATCCCACGGCTACTGTGTCCCTGCCGGCCACACACAATCCCCGATCCCCTCTGGCTCCCCGGGGCACCTGCCTGCTGGGAATCAGAACGCGCAGGCAGAGATTTCCGAATGCCAATCGGCTCTTTTTTCCTCCCTCTAATTAACAGCTGCCAAGAGCAAACTTTCCCAGGTGAAACGTGCACAGAGAAGATAAATGGATTTTTAATTTGGGTCACTGACAAGGTCAGCCACAGAACCGTTACTGTGATTCTTTTTCCTATTTCAAACATGCCTTCATTAACTTTCTTTGAAAACACAGTGTAAAGAATTCTGGCTTTTGATGAGCCCACTTCCTCTCAGCTGCTCGTCTTCAAGCTGAGAACCTGGCTGCCTGGCCCGGCCAGTCCTCCGGGTGGTCCGTGTCGGGCGCACCCAAGGGCGCTTGAGGGGCGGAGACCAGTGTGGCCCGGGGGGTGTGCAGAGCCACCGTGGATTCCCAGGGGGAACAGAACGGGCCCGCGCTGGATGTGGCCGCCCACTGCCTGGGCTCCGAGTTCCGGGTCCCCTAAAACCTGGTGCGCTAGGAGCGCAAAGAGCTGTGCTCATTGGTGGAATCATCTGCGGTGCATCCAGAGCTGTGCGCTGATAGGAGGACGGGCCTGGCTGGAGGCGGTCACTGGGCGTGACCCCGAAGGGCTCCTCTCCCTCCCAGCTCCTCCCTTCTCTCTGCTTCCTGGTCGCCATGAGGTGAGCAGCTCTCCTCCGCGCGCCCTCCCCATGCTGTTTCCTCGCTGGAGCTGGCGGACCACGGACTGAAGCCTCTAAAATCCCCAAGTCCAGATAAACCTGTCCTCCTTTAAGTTGTGGGTGTTGGGTATTCTGTCCCAGTGATGAGGAAAGTGACTAAGACACCTTTGGTCTGTCTGGCTGTGAGCCCTGTCTTGCCCTTTCATCTCCACCCAGGGCAGCTCCCCGAGACTGGCCACCCTCCTGCCCTGAAGGAGGACACAGCACTCAAGCCAGGCAGAGTGGTGGCCTTCAGGCCAGGGAAGCAGAAGTGCAGGGACTGCAGGGCAGGAAGTCAGGAGTCCGAGTCCCCGGCAGCATGAAGCTCACACCATGTAGGACCACAGCACCAGGTCCGTGTGCTCACTCACAGGCTGCCCAGGGCTGTGGGGCAGTCCACCAAACGGACTAAGTTGAGAGGATACTGATCTCAATTTGAAGTTGGCCACCTGGATGCCTTGTGAGGAGGGAACACAGAAGAACAGAGCCACTGTACCAGAAGGCAGGGCTGAGGGCTGAACAGAAAGATGTCATGTTCCAGTGAGACTTGTTGGCCTCGATCCAGCTATGCCTGAAGCTTGTGCTGCCTTGGGACTTTGCAGTTATCTGAACCACTATTTCCCTTTTTATTTTTTTCTTAAGACATATTGATTTGGGTTTCTGTCACTTATAACTGAAATAGACCTATTACAGCCCAAGGAAATCTTTTCTGTATGACCCTGGCTTGGTGACCTCCAAATTTTAAATCACTTCTTAACTGGAGACTCAGGATTCTTCCCTCTCTGAATTCCAGGCCTTATTTTTACCACGTGCTGGATACACCCAGAGGTGCTGACAGCTCCTCAGAGTCCAACAAGTTTGAAAGAGGATTCTTCACATTCCCCACAGCTTGGGGTCCCAGCTGCCTCATCTGGAGAATGACACCAGTGTCACTCAGGCTGCAGCCAGCAAACATCTCCCTGCCCTTCCTCACCTTAGCCCCAGCATTTCCCATCCTCCCAGATGCCTTAGGCCTGTCACTCCTCTCAGCCCTAACCGAAGTGGCCTAACTCAGTCCTGCCCTGTCTGTCTCTCCACGCAGCACCAGTGTGACCTCCTGGAACCCACTTCAATCCCATCGTTCCCCTGGGTAAAACCCCAGGACATCAGAGCCAGGTGGACTTCAACTATCCATCCTCACCACCTATAACAAGGGAACTGGTGATTTCTATCTGGACATTCAGCCATGAAACGAGACCTTCCCAGACTCCCCACAGGTAGGTGCCTCCCCGTCTCAGCTCTGCAATGCAAGACAGAGATGGTGGCCTCAGTCCCACTGGCACTGTGGGCTCTTCTCAGCTCCACACCCGGGAACTTCCTGTTGGCATTCCCTGTACTGGGAGCAGTTGTACCCTGGGAACTTCCTGTTGGCATTGCCCGTGGTGGGAGTTGTACCTGGGAACTGGCCAGGGACTCAGGCCAGCTCCCCACCCTGGGAGGCTGCTCCTCCTCCTTCCCACTGGGTGGGGCAGGGGCATAGTGATGGCCTTCAGGCCAAGGATGCAAAAGTGCACGGTCTGTGGGGCCGGCAGTCAGGAGTCTGAGTCCCCAGCAGCATGAACCTCACACCAGTAGCCCTGGCTGTTACGTGAGGAAGGAAGAAATGGAATGAAGGACACGAATCAGCATTGTGTTCAGGTATCTGCTATGCAGTGATTATGGTATATACTAATTTTAATACTCAAAACCGATATGACAGGCACTCAGTGTGGGAACAGGAAGCGATCCCGTCCCATCTGGCACATATTTCAAACTGTGATGGCAACCAGGCTTTGTTTCCTTGTTCAGTGTCTTAAAAACAAAGCACCGAGTTGAAGTTAACACACTTTACCTCAAAAATATGGATTTCTGCTGGGTGTGGGGTGCACTCCTGTGATCCCAGAACTCAAGAGGCTGAGGCGGGAGGACCCCCAGAAGTCCAAGGGCAGCCTGAACTACACAGTGAGACCCTGTCTTAAAAATCAAAGATAGGCTTTCTGGCTCCTCAGGGGAAGGCGCAGGCTCTCTCTATTCCTGTTCTCACGAGGCCAGCAGTGTAGACTGTGCACCTGGGCCCTTCTGAGCTCTGTGACCCCACTTCCTGTCGTAGCTGCTCCCCCTTAGCTCCTGGGGTCCGAGGCCCAGCTCACCATATACTGTCTGTTTGACCTTGACCTTGTTCCAGCCCTTTGCCTTGGTAAACTCTGAAGAGCACACCCATACCCATCGCTAGAGAGACTTAAATTAAAAATAGATCTCAAGTTTTGATGGGAGTGTGGAGCAACTGGAACTCTCAGACGCCGGAGGAATGAGGAACAGGTGAGCCTGTTTGGAAAATGGGTTGGTGGTTTCTTAAAGAGAGAAACATACCCTCGGCCCGTGACCAGCCCTGGTCACCAAGATCAATGAACACACACCTCTGTGCAGACGTTTAGAGCCCTGATGGCAACCAGGCAGGGTGTGGTCCTAGCTATGCGCTGTGCGTGACACCCAAGCTGGAGCCCCCAGCCGAGGGCGAAGGGACTATCGCATGCTCAAAGCATCGGGCAGCGCCACGGGAGAAAGCGAAGCATGCACATCCCCCACACAGGCGGTCACTCCACCCTGGTACCAAGCCAGCCAGACCCGACCCAGGGAGCTGAGCCCACGTAGGGAAACTGAGGAAGGGGAGAGCTCATCGGTGGTGCTGGCAGTCGGGGCAACAGCTGCTTCTGCACAGTGCAGACGCCACTGGTGGTGGGAGGAGGGAGAGGGAGGATGAGAAAGATTCCTGGGGGGGACAAGATTATCTTGTGTCTCCACAGGGTGCGAGTCCTGGATGTACACATTTACCTGAAGTAATCAGAACATGTGATTAAAGTCTGTGCATTTTAATGAAAGTGATGTCAATAAAAACAAGAAAAATGACACACAGAGAGTATACAAGAAAACTATTGTTTCTATAAAGAAAGAAGGAAGCCGAGGATTTAACCCAGCGGTTTCGCCGCCTGCTGTGCAAGTGCAAGGACCTGAGTTCAATCCCCGGTACAAAAAAAAAAGAAAAGAAAAAGAAGGAAGAGAAACGAAAGGAACAAATTAAGTCCATACAAATCCAAGAACCAAGGCAGAGGCTGCCCTGGTCTGGGGCTCCTGGTCTTTTGGGGGTCTCCCGCAGGACTTGTGGTTCCCTGAGACTCAGAGCAGGCCCTGCAGGAGGTGCACAGGGGACTTGGCAGATACCAGCAACCAGTGCCTTCTCCCCCACTCAGGACTCCCCCAGCCCCTCCCAGTGCACCCTCCCGGTGCTCCAAGCAAGCAGAAGAGCTGGCGCGTTCAGCACCTGGGAGGAGAAACTGAGCTTCCAGTGGCCAAGACTGGAATCTCATTCATGTTCATCTGCCCCACACTCGGCATAAGGCCTGAATGTGGAGTCTCCGAACTGAACTGTGCTGAGCATCCTCCTGCAGCTGCCAGGGCCAGAGCCCGAGCTCAGGGTGCTGGTCTGACCTGAGGCCCCAGCACCAGACCATCTGAGTTCCCTGCAGCATCCATGGTCCTTACCGCACCCCCTTTTGTCTTTGTCCCCATGGCTTTTCTCTCCCAAGTAGGTCTGGGTGTGCACAACCTACACTTACACAATTGGGGTCCTGGGCACACGAACTCAGGGCTCTACTTTGGTGATTAAAATGACTCGGTAGTGGAAAATCTGGGTCAGCCCACGATGCCAGTAAGGGACAGGGTCTCCCCAACATGCTCACAGTCAGCTAACAGTGCCACGGGAAACATGCCCAATGGCCATCCAGAGCCCACACCGAGGCTGCTGAGCGGCCACACACACCTGCCGCCCACCTTCACAGCTCTCTGGGTTTCTCAAATTAACCACCTCAGCTGAGCAGAGCGAGTCCAGGTCTGGAGCGAAGCTGAAGCCGACGGTGGCCCTGGTCACCGCAGACCTGCTTAATTGGATTTGACAACCATGATTTATTTACCAAGCAGCTCTTTGCTTCAAGTCATAATCATATCTAACACTCATCTCATCTCTGCTTTGCTTAGGGTTCCAAAAATCCAGATTTTCCTTGACACTCTGCAAGGGGAATGAGGAAACCACAGCGGACTTGAAAAATTTTTTCAATTATATGGTCTCAGAGTTTTTCCTTGTATAGCTAATTTGGCCAGTTCTGAGGACATCAAAAAGAAGGAAATCAGATCACAACCCCTGGCGCTACTTCTGGATATAGGCAAGTCAATCCTACCTCTTCTCTGCCTGCAGCAACTTTCTAAAAGGGACAAGGGTACAGTCTGGATCTGGAGGGTTCCCCAAAGGCCCACGTGTTAAAGATTTAATTCTCAGATTAAAGGTTCAATAAGCGTGGTGGAGAGGTGGTGGAATCTTTGAGAGGAGGAGCCTAGTGGGAGGAAGTGAGGTCACTGGGGTCATGCAGGAGGAAGTGGGGGCATACAAAAGTGAGGTCCTTGGGTTCATGCCCTTGCAGGGCGCTGTGGGCTGCTTCCCCGGCCCCTTCCTGTCTTTGCTTCCTGGCCACGGTGACATGAGTATTTTGCCCTGCCCCACGTTGCCTGCCATGATGTGCTGCCTCGCTACAGGCACAAAAGAGATGGGACCAAGCAACCAGGGCCTGAAATCTCCAAAACTATGAGCCCCAAACAAGCCTGTTCTCTTTCTTAGCTGATCATCTCAGGGATGTTTTGCAGGAACCGAAAGCTGGCCAATGCAGACAGGACTTGCTGCCTTCTTCAGAGGTGGGGGGCCCTGCTTCCCGCGTCAATCTGTTGTAAGGCCGCAGTGAGGGCCGATGACAGCTGAGCTCCCAGCACACTGCAGGAGCCTGGAGATGGGGTACCTTGCTTAAGAAAATCCTCCTCTTGAGCCTCTGCTGAGCGTCAGTTTATGATCCTGTTTGGGGTCGGGGCTGCACAGTGGGGACAGGAATGACATGAGACATATTACAAAGGAAAGTCACTAGGGCCATGCATCTTAGGGCAGTTGGAGGGTCCCCATCGGTCCTCTTGTCCTTTCAAGCCAGGCTGCTCAGACGGTGGCACTGCTGGCGAGCATGTGAAGACTGCCATCCTGCTCCCCACCGAGCATGCAGGCTGGAAGGAGCAGGGAGCCGACATTTGGTTAGCGCAGTGCAGGGTGTCACCTTGAGACTTAATGGGAGAAAACACACTTCCACCGAGTACCCATCGTGCTGTCCAGTTCCCAGGGTGTCCCTGGAGGGGCCCAGCAGTGTCCCCACGGCCGTGGGCAGCTGTGACAGCCCCGTCAGCCACCTGCTGCCACTCCCCAGCCATGGGGGACAGTGAAGCAGTGGGCGGGGCTGCTGACTTGTGCACACTGAAACTTGGATTCACGTGATCTTCATGAGTCACGAGGCTTTCCTCTTCTTTAGGACGTTTTCAGTGATGTGAAAATGTGCAGACCATGCCAGGCTTGCAGGCTGCACAAACCGGACCAACAGCGGGTGGCTTTGGCCATCTCGTGGGACTCTCTGCCCTGCTGGGCTCAAACTGGGGCAGAGAGCACGGAGCGTCTAGCTCGAGGACACGTCCTTGTACGTCAAGGCAGACTGTCCCCGACTGTGGGACTGCGTGTTTGGGTGGGCTTCTAGCTTTCCATGACAGGGAATTGTGTTCAGCTCCATGCTTCCCTGGCTGGTTCCTATGCCACCTGGGCAGGAAGAATGGGTGAGATGTGGCCTGGCCAGCTACCTTCCCTGATGTCCCCTGATAGCTTCACTGGGACTGAGACCCCGCTTGGGTTCCTATTGACCACAGGAAGGATCCACCAATACCACATGCTATTACAAAGCACCTGTCTTGTGAGCATAGACAAGTCATTAAACACCAGGGCCCGGTGAGGGGCGATCTCATCAAGCCTGCTGGACATGGCAACACCTGCCACCCTGCTGACAAATGTGCAGGATTTTAAAAATATTATTTATGTGTTTTTAATTCATTTGGTTCAGATTTAATTTGGACTGGATAAATCATCCATTTTTTGAAGCGAATGCTACAAATGTCAGGAGGTGAAAGAATTCTGTGGCACTCCATTTTATATTCATGTGAGCTCACATTTAATAGAGAAAACAGTTTTCTTTTAATCACCTTGACCTAATTTTCTGCCCAGCAAGAAATGTGTTTCTCAAAAATATCACTGAACCCTGGGAAGAAATGTTTGAAAAACTATCATTGAACATATTCATAATGTTTTATATCCTAGGAGCTCCAGGCTTCTTGTGAAAAATGTCGTAAGTAGGCAAAGGACCTGAGGGTATTTTCAAACATCAAAGCAAAGCAGAAAAGAAGTGACATGGCAAGATGAACAGAAATGGAGTTAGGTAGGCAAAAGGAGGGAGAAGAAAGACTCCAAACACAGCCAGAAGGAAAAGAATAAAATGGAGCTCAGATCCAGCGTTTTCAGAGAGCAGCCCTAACTGAACAAGTCAACACGTTTGCTGTACACAATCTGAAGGCTCGAAAAGGCTGAAAACAATCACCAGGACCCAAGCAAATACCTATGCTGAGGTCTGTAATGCTGCTTTTAAGTCTCTGGTGACTGTTTTCTCCTCCTTCACTAACATCAGAGGAATTAAACATTAGAGTATATTCATCAGGATGAGATTAATCATGTCCAACCGCACTGGCCTAATGAATAAAGAAGTTTGCTACATCAAGAGGCAGGTAGCTCCATGGCCTCAGAGCTGGCTGCTCTAGAGACTTAATCAATTACCCAAGACTCTGCTTCCTCCTTCCCTCCCTCCCTGCCACCCCCTGACTGATGTGAGCTGCCCATTGGCAAACAGATGGCTGTTGAAGTCTGGGTATCTATCATGCAGAACACAGTGACACTCAGAGAAAGAAGGAGAACACATTTCAAGTGACCCATGTCCATTTCCGAATTAGTTGGTGGTAAAGGGAATGGGACCATTGTTAGACCAGTTTACGATACAGCAATTTCTCTGACATTCCCTTGGTGAGAGTTATGGTCTATGTTTCCTTTCTGTGAATTTGAGAGACTTAAATTAGTGTCAACCAGTAGAGAATGAAAAATAGGATGCCTATGCATTCCAAGGCTAGGTCTTAGGAAGGTCTCTTGGATGCTTGCTCTGAGGGAAGCCCTCTGCGGGTAAGAAATATGGCTATGCATGGCAGCCACATTGGAGAGGTCACAGGTAGGACTGTCACTGACACAGCTGAGTTTTCAGCAATGGTCAGGTTCAGCTCTGAGCCATGTGAATGTGCCATCTTGGATTTCCTACCATAGACTTCAACCCAGTCAATATCTCTTCATCCTCTTGTGAGACCCCAAATGAGAACTGCTCAGTCAAGCCTTATTGCACAAAATTAAAAGAAAAAAAGAAATAGTCATTGGAAGCTCCCAAGTCTCAGAGTAATTTGCATGCAGCAGTAGTAATTAGATTGCCAATTGCATCAACCTTCAGAGCAGGGGTGGGGTCAACAGTGCCACAGTGCCTAAGGCAGACAGACAGGAGGGAAGGAATAATTACATGGACTTGAACTCAGAAGTCCGTTAAGATGGAAGAAACACATGCCAGGTAGGCAACCCACAGTATTTTCTACAATTTGGAAGACTTCAGTGCGTTAACTTCCTGTGAATTAACATGGGCAAGGCACTGCCATAATGCCTAGCATATAATGCAGATTTGATAAGTGACAGCTATTCGTATTCTTATTCTATGTGTGAATGCACTTACGTTTCTTATATACCTTGCCAAGTAGTTCACAAGGAAAATTTGGTTATCTTATCTACTTCCTTGTTGATCTAGATGAGGAAAAATATGCAGAGGCAAAGATGAATAAACCACATTGGGATCTGGATTAAAATTAAGTCCTGAGGTGCTGAATCTTAGGGTACCTAGCTCCCCAACTCTCTTGGTTTTCTATAGATGGCCAACAGCCCATTGTTCTTCCTTTCCTTCTTACTCTGGAGCTATACCGGCTCCAAAGGAGTCTCTGCCACCCCTGCTGTACACCCAACCAGCCTGTCCTCCATTGCTGCTGTGTGCTCCTGGTTCTGGCTTGCTCCTTTTGGCAGACCTACCAGAGTGTGGCCCATTGTAGAGTTTCACCTATGATGGCTGCAAATGTCATTCCTCACTCAGTTTTGTCACCTCCTTCCACCAAGAGCCCCATGTCCCAGCTGGCTGTGGTGGTACATGCCAGCCAATCCCAGTGCTCTGGGAGGGGAAGGGAGGAGGACCACAAGGTTTGGGCCCAGCCTGGGCACCGTAGGTTCTTAGTGAGACCTCTCTCAAAATGAAAACCATAAAAAGGGGTGAAGGTGTAGGTAAGTGTGAAGGTCCTGGTTCAGTCCCTAGTACAACAAAAAAGAAAGAAAGAAAGAACCAAGTCTCGTCTCTCCTTTCCTTGACCCTGGGCTGGCTTGGTGACTTACTCTACCAGAGCTTCCAATGAGGGAGCCGGATATAATACTCCAGAGACCACACAGAGAGGAAGAGATTGTGGCAGTCAAAGGTCCCAGGGAGAGAAACCCCAGCAACCCAGCTACTGCCTAAGACTCCCTTAGATCCTTTAACCAAATGACATCTGATGAGGAAGCCCAGTGTAACTCAGGGGCGCAGAGAGGAGAGGCCCAGCCGAGACTGCCTGGGCAGCCGGGGGTCACATGCAGGCAAAATGGGGGTGGCCAAGGAGGCCATGAGGCTTTAGGCTGGTGTGCTAGGGAGTCACAGGAAATGGGACAGGTAAGCCACTGCCAGGGAGACCCTGGGTCACACCGCAAGGAAGCAGCCTGGTCTTGCCTCTGGCTCCTCCAGCTGTTGTTTCTGAGCAGAAGGGCTGCACTGAAGGCGCCCTGCAGACCTTTGAGAGCCACACCCACACTTCTAGAATGTTCTCCATGCTTCTCTTTACAACACTTAACATCCACTACAGGATGAAACTTTACAGTGCTATCATGAATGGAAAGCTTGCATCACTTGATGGAAACGGTAAATATGGGATAATCACCACTTAAAGGTAATAATCCATGGGCAACCTGCAGGGCACAAACCACGGTCTGGAATCATTGCTCGACTATGCTGGTGAAAACTGCTTGCTCTCTGCCCTTTATTTTCCCTCTTTTTGCTTTCAAGCCTTTTTTGGATGTAAAAATTCTTAAATAATACTTGGAATTTATTTTTTGTTCTTTGCATTTATCGCTGTATTTTTAAGCAACCTTATGTTATCGTCTGATAACTGCGCACTTATTATCTATTGCTCCAGGAAGTGCCTTTTTTAGGGAGTCAATTCTGCTTGCTTTTAAATCCTCAGTAA